CAAAGTTTTTATATGCATTATTCACTTTTTTACATTACTCATACTATAAAAGTGAGTCTTAAAAATAATGCATGACTTCACATCAAATGTCTATTGAGTTTGTATAGAGAGTTATACAAATATCGGAAACGCGACTACTGGATTATGACCATACCACCTTCCCATAGATTATCGGACCCCGATATTCTTAATTTAGCATGTTTAAACTATATAATCATACAGGTTTTAATTTAATAAGAGTTGTACAACGAGTGACACCCCATAGTAAGTATAAATATAGACTATGTTTATAAATAGGAGATAGTGATAATTTTTAAAATGTATGCTGGAACAAACAAGACTTATTAAAAAAATTTATATTATTTTTATAATCAGATTTCGAAATAATAAGTAAATGTTTTGAAATTTTTAAAAATGAATTGTAATGGGACATTCCAGACAAATTGTTTTGAAATTTTTAAAAATAAATTGTAATAGGATATTTAGACAAATGTTTTTGAAATTTCTAAAAATGGATTGTAACAGGACATTCAGTACAAATTCTTCGAAAAATAAATTTAGAATAATTAAAAAAATTTTCAGATATATTATTAGCGCGGTTTATAGCACATGGATGAGTTTACGCTATATCGCTGGATGTGTGTAATGCATGCACACTGTATTCAATACATTAAAAGGTTTTTTATATTACCAGCATTGTTATTAATAAGAAATTAAACAAATAATATAACATTTAATTTAAAATTAAACTCAATTATAAAATCCTAATAATTAAATATATTAAATCTAGTTAAATTACAAAACTTAATTAAATAGAATATTTTAATATCTCCATTGTAATATTTAGAGAAATCATTATAAAAGTTATTTCTATAACAAATTAATTAAAACTTTTAATAATAGTTTATAATACTTAATTTAATTTATAAAATATTAAACATAATTTACAATTTATATAAAAATTAAAATAAAAATTAATGTTTTGCGAAATATTTCAGCTTATAATTTAATATTTTTATAAAAATTTAATTATATTTAAATAAATATAATTTTTAAAATTGCTAAATATAATGTATTTAATTATTTTCACTAATATTTAGTGTTATATGAGTAGATAATTAAAGCTAATTAATTAATAAACAAGAAAATTCACATGCAGTGTTTTTACGTGTTGGCATCCATATATTAAGATACTAATATTAAATTATTTTAAAATTTTTTATCATTAGTATATTAAATCCTATCCTATATTTTGTTTTATTTTGTATCAATTAATAATCAATTTATTTAATAATAGCTTAAATAAATTTTCATTAAAAATTCGGCGGTGATACATTATATACCGCTTTTTATTACATAGCTGAATTGCGCTTAAAAACTTATGATTTTCTTAAAAATCTAAATCGATGTGTATTTATTCAAAATATATTTTTAAAAATTATATCTAATTTTATTATATATATATTTTACAAATTATAAACCAAACACAAAAATTGGTAATACAAGACTACAATTTGGTAATAAAAATATTTATTTAAACTTCAGGGTATTAAAATTATTTTGATTTTAAATAGGCGAGTCATTTTACATTTGTATATCAGGATAATATTATTTATGTTCAAAATTATGTAGATTCAAAATTAATATCTCGTTATTTTTGAAGAATAAGATATTTGTAAAGTCTGTCCCAATTGATCCGAATTATTTTAAAGTTAAATTAAAAATGTTTAAAATTATATTATGGTAACAAAAACTATACTAAAACTGGTATTAATAAAATTTGCACAAAATGACAGCCCTGGTCATATTTTTAGTTTTTTGCCGTTATCGGAAGATATCGGGGTTTTTGGAAAGTTGGGTTTTTAATACTTAACTAAATTCGCTTAACTTAATGATGATTGCGGCAAACATAGCTTCACACCTGACAATATAATGGTATAATACGTTTTTGGTACTAAAGTTGTAAACAGGATTTAAAATGCCGGACAAATAATGAATGTATAATTTTTGATGTTTTTAGGTTAATACAAAATTTTATTAAATCTATATATTATTCAACAAAATTGTATCTTAATATTATTGTATAATTCATTGCATAAGTGCGCTAATGTTATAAAGCATCAAATTTTAATGATATTGGGTCAGTCCTCCGACCCTATGTTTATAATAAATTAATATTCATTTCAACTCATATTATCTAATTGTGTTTTATTTTTCATTTATTGATTTCTATTAAAATAACATTTAATTACCGGTATTAAAATAAATTTAAGATGTAGTAGCATGCTACAGTAATAAATTCCGAAAATAGTCTATCGCTTGTGAACGCCGACCACAAGCCGTTTGAATTTTAGCACATATAAGAGGGCTGTCATGTAGATGACGGGGACGTCAGTGTCGGTCACTCTGGAGAAGCGGAACTTCTGTACGATCTTAGCTATGGCCAGCTTTGCCTCCAATAAAGCGAATCGCATTCCAATGCAATTTCGTGGACCCGAACCAAACGGAAGGTAAGTGTAGGGTTTGATGTGATCCCGGTTTTCCGGCATAAACCTATCAGGGTTAAATGTATATGGGTCCGGATAGTGGTCGGGGTCGTGATGTATAGCATACACCGGGATTTCGACAGACACTCCCTTCTCGATCTTCACTCCAGTGTTGCCTAACATTACGTCTTCCATGGCTTCCCTCTGAAGTCGAAGTATTAGCGGATAATTGCGAAGAGTTTCGGATAGGAGTGCGTCGAGGAATGGCAGTCTCGACAGCACTTCGTAATCCATTTCTCCCTTTTCATTGAACGCCTCTTTCGTCTCCTCATAGAGTCTGTCCTGAAGTGAAGGTTGAGTGCCAACTCATAGACACAGAACGACAGAGTGCTGGAAGTCGTCTCATAACCGGCGATGAAGAACAGCAAACATATCCCTAATATCTCGTCTTCAGTCAACTTCTTCTCCAACACACCGGCGATGGACTCGGCGTTGGCTGTCATCTCATCCCTGCCCTCATTCACATGATGTGCTTCATTGGCATCACTGGCCTCTCGTATGTCTCCTTCAGGTCTCTCGGCATCCATTAATAGCTGCAGAAAATCGTTGCGTTTTTCGTGGTTTTCCTTTCGTTTCTGTATTAGACTTTTCGCAAAATTAACAAAAAAGTCTATTTCAAAACCGCCTGCGCTTACGATATGTCGGTACATATATGTGTTTACTATAAATGAAGGCAATATCGTTTCTAACACCCCTTTCCAAACGGGAACTTTGAGCAGATTGAACGCACTGGTAGTGAACGGGTTGTTAGGATCGGCGTATGTATTGGTTTTAGTAGCGAAGGCGCAGCTGGCGATCACATCCATAGTGTAGGCGCCCATCAGTCGCTTCAACTCGACTTCATTCACACCATTCGACACATCCTTATCGAGGCTATCGATGAAGTCATCGCAGCACCGGTCGATCAGAGCATACATGATCCTCATCTTTCTGGACGTGAAGGTAGGGCTGGCTATAGCCCGGACTCGCTTCCAGTCGTCATCCCGGGCTCTGTTAATAATAGTTCTTACGGTCAGTCTATTACTGCCCGGTTGTGACTGTCGGTTACGAAACGCATTAAAATTTTGGACCAAAATTTGTTTGATGAGCACCGGGTCGGCCACTGTTAGCCTGGGCTTCGCTAATAAGTATATCCTGTAATCGCATTCAAAACATTTTATAAAAAAGGTTTAATATATTGTTTTGAGTCTCACGTTATAATTACCCATAAATTTTGCCGTATTTCTGATACCACTCCATCTCCACAAATGGTCGCGCTTTTAGGACAGTTGTCAAAATATTTCCGAATATAGGTATAGGTTTTGGACCAGAAATGTGTCGATCCTTCCAATAGCTGAAGGCATTCCTCCACGAACTCAATGAATGAATGAATGAATAATTTTACAAATTATTATGTTTTTAAATTAATTGTAATTTATTAATTAAATCTAATGTTATATGTCTTACAAGTGGTAGTACGCGATCACCGCCACAATTCCTCCGATGAGACACAACACGTATGTCTGGCAAAGCGGTGCCAATATTGACCCCAATAGTGATGTCATAATTTACTGGATGTTTAATAAATCTACTTATATTTAATACTTAAAGTATAGATTAAAACTTGTAAATATTAAATAGTTTGCTCCATGTCTTTTTATAGACAATTTTTACAAGTCATGCGTTAAATGTTTTTAAAGCGTGTCCGCAAAAGATCCTGTTTATACAAGTATTATGGTATTTACGTACATGCTAATTATATCTCTAATTATTAATATCATGCAATGTAAAAGAATTAGTTTTATAAAAATCAATCTTTTCAATATAACTCTTATGCAATATACTGTATAAAAGTTATTAAAACCACAAGGTTTCTCTTAATTAACTTATACTCTGTAGTATTAATAGAGATATTATACCAACTTTTCATACAGAGGGCAACACCATTGAATTCGTGTCTATATTTTTAAAATAACATTTACCGTCACAATTTAAGTTTATTTAATCCTCTAATAATTAAATTGACGTTGCTTATATGTCGATATAATTTAGTAAAGAAACCATTTAAAAATCTGTTATCGTTATCCAGGAATTTAGGTTTGAAATATAAAAATAAAAATTACTCGTTATACTGTAGTTAGACAAATAATTTTTTGACATTTCAATATTATATTGAAAATTTTTTTAAAGTTTAAAATGTAAATAAATTCATAGTCATATTCGGTCATATCCTGGTCATAGTCGGTCATCTTCCGACAATGCCTTTTCATGTTAAAATGGGACAAACGCAAAGCAAATATTCCCAGGTCAAAATAGTAAACAAAAACTTAATTAATAGAAACATTAATAATGCTACATTAATATAATGTTTTAAACTAACTTGATTTATATTGAATAGTAAATTCATTTATAGTTGTTAAATACATTTATATTGTATTTAATTAATTGAATATCTTATATAAGAATGTGAATAATATTAAAAATTTATTTCACTAAAATCTACATGATACTCTAATTTTAATAACATTTACTCAATTACAGTAATCTACTACAGTATTAAATAACAAAGTAATACTGTCGTAGAAATAATTATTTTAACAATCATTATTAGATAAAAAGAAAAATTGTATTTTGACTAACCTAATTATTTAATCAATCTATTTTATAGTCATTTCTTAAAACCAGTGAATAGAATATAATTGAGCTACTTAAAATCATTTTAAAAATGATTGACATTTATCAATTACTGAGAACAGGCAAGGTTAATCTAACAATTAGGCAATTTTCTCAATTCCGACAAAAATACGCTTGGGATAAATCATTTGAATAGACCGTTGGTATTGCAACGGGACGTCCGTTTTGGGAGTCCTGACGAACTGATACTTCAACACCATATGAGCCAAACATATCTTGATTTGTAATAACCCTAATCGCATCCCAACACAATTACGAGGGCCGCCCCCGAAGGGCAGGTATGTATACGGCTTAATAAGATGTTTATTCTCGGGCATAAATCTATCAGGGTCATACTTAAAAGCATCGGGATAATTCTC